TGACTGTAACCATGTATAGGAGTGAAGCTGATTCATTACCTCTGTAACTTGCCATGATTAGTGACCAGATCTACCTGGAGTTCATTACCTTTGTAACTAGTTCAGCTATCATAACTTTGGGGTCCAGTCACTGGACCCATTAGAAACTTTGTAATCTTTTGACTACACCCACAGGATGGGTATGGGGTGCTTTAAAGATATTAACTAAAGTGGTGTACTCACCTATTTGTACTCACCTATTTGTGGTTGCAGGGGTCGAGTCCTAGTCCTGGCCCCGCCTCTTCACCGGTTGCTACTAGACCCTCTCTCCCCCCGCTCCATGAGCTTTTTTCAAACCTCGTCTTAAAAACTGTGTATGGTTCCTGGCCTCCACTACGTCATTTTCTAGGCTATTCACTCCCTTACAACTCTATGACTGAAGAAAATATTTCACTCTATCTCTCGACTCATTTGTGTCTTCAACTTCCAATTGTGGCCTCTTGTTTCTGTGTCCCCTCCCTGGAACATCTGTCCTTGTCCACCTTGTCTATTCCACGCAGTATTTTATATGTCGTTTTCATGTCTCCCCTGACCCTCCTGTCCTCCAGTGTCGTCAGGCCGATTTCCCTTAATTTTTTTCTTCATAGGACATTCCCCTTAGCTCTGGAACTAACCTTGTTGCAAACCTTTGTACTTTCTCTAGTTTCTTGACGTGCTTTATCAAGTGCGGGTTCCAAACAGGTGCTGCATACTCCAGTATGGGCCTGACATACACGGTGTACAGTGTCTTGAATGATTCCTTACTAAGGTGTCGGAATGCTGTTTCAGGTTTGCCAGGCGCCCATATGCTGCAGCAGTTATCTGATTGATGTGTGCTTCCCGGGGACATGCTCGGTGTTATACTCACCCCAAGATCTTTCTCTTGAGTGAGGTTTGCAGTCTTTGGCCACCTAGCCTATACTCGTCTGTGGTCTTCTGTGCCCTTCCCCTATCTTCATGACTTTGCATTTGGCAGGATTAAATTCGAGAAGCCATTTGTGGACCCGGTGTCCAGTCTGTCCAGGTCTCTTTGAAGTCCTGCCTGGTCCTCATCGATTTAATTCTCTCATTAACTTCACATCATCTGCAAACAGGGACACTTCTGAGTCTAACCTTCCCTCATGTCGTTCACATATACCAAAAATAGCACTGGTCCTAGGGACCGACCCCTGTGGGGCCCCGTCGTCAAGGTGCCCACTGTGATACATCAAAGTACCATGACCGTTGTTCCCTCCCTGTAGGTATTCTTGACCCTTTTGCGTGCCCTTCCTGTTATATGCGCCTGTGCTCTAGCTTCTGCATAATCTCTTTGAGGAACTGTGTCAAAGCCTTCTTGCGCCCAAAAAGATGAAATCAACCCACCCCTCTCTCTTTGTTTACTTTGTTTTTTTATCATAAAAAAACCCCCAAAAGGTTTGTGACACGGTTTTGCCTTCCGGAATCCGTGCTGGTTGGCATTTATACTCCTGTTCCGTTCCAGGTGCTCCACCACTCTCCTCTGAAAATTTCTTCCCCATAATTTTGAACTATACCGTCAATACAAGGTCATGTTTAGTGCCTTTTTTTCGTCCCCTTTTTTAAAAATGGGAACTACATTTGCTGTCTTCAACCCTCAGGTGTTCCCCAGTTTCCAGGGATGTGTTGAAGTTTTTTGGTAATGGTACCCACAACTTCTGCTCCCTCTTAAGGACCCAGGAGAGTGTTGTCGGTCCCTTGCCTTTGGGTAAATGTCCCTTAGCAGTTTCTTCACCTCCCCCTCATCTGTATGTTGCGCCCAAACTTGTTGGTGTATTCCTTTTTGGGTGCCCCCATCTGGTCTGCCCCCCCCAGAGTCCTTCCTGTCTTACTGAAAATATTTCCCTTAAAATCTGGTTGAGCCCTCCATACCTCTTTCGTTTCTTGTGTTTTTCCCCCCCTTCTTTCCCACCTTTATCACCTGGTCCTTGTGTTGTCTTTTTCCCTAAGGGGCTTACGAGTTTCGGGTCAGTTTGATTTCGATGCTATGTCGTTTTCATACGTCTCTGGGCCCCCCCCCTTTATTGCGCATACCTTTTTGGCTCTTCTACTAATCTCCTTGTTTTCCCCGGGGGTCCAGCCTCCGTACCTTTTCCCATTCTCTGTTGCACTTAGTTTTGCCTCCTACACCTTCGGGAAAACCAAAGGACTCGTTTTGGGTTTTTCCTTTTTTCTTTTCCTTGGGAACAAAACTTTCCTCTGCCCCCTTGCATTTTGGTTGCCAATTTCCTCATTCTTTTATGTTTTTCCTACCATTTCTCTGTCCCACTGAACCTCCTCGGAATTTTCTCATCCCTGGTGTCCCCCTTTTTTATGTTTGGCCTGTCCCCTTCAGTTCCTGTTACCTTTCTCCACTTGTAACTACTAATAGTCAAAACTCAAACCACATGATCGCTAGCCCCAAAGGGGCCTCTGTAATGTTCCTCGATGTTGAACTGCTCAGGTGAACACAAATCCAGTCTTGCTGGCTCACCCCCCTCTCTCTTGGTTTGTCCCGACATGTTGTGATGGGGTTTTCAAGACCACATCCATCTCTTCCTCCCTGTTTTTGGGACCCCCATGTGGCTCCAGGTTTTCCCAGTCGATCTCCTGTGGTTGAAATCGCCCCTTACCAGTAACTTTGCTCTGCTCGGTGAGCTCTTCTTTGCCACCTCACCGTGTGTCCACCCTCCCCGTTTTTTTTTCGTACTCCTCTTTGGCCCCCTGCGTTCTTGGTGGGTTATACACCTCCAATGGGTACTTTATGTTCTCCCGGGCTGAATTTACCACAATGTAGTCCTTTCTCCAATCATGTCCAGCCTTTCCTTTCCCCAAATCCCCATTTTGTTTTTTTGAGCAGTGAACCCCTCCTCCCCCTCATCCCTTTTTCTTTCCTCAGGATCTGTATCCTGTTGGAAGATTTTGTCTGTTTTACTCGCGAGTTTTGTTTCTGGACTGCTAGATGTCTGGGGGTTTTTCACTATTCTTTCATTCCACTCCTCAGTTTATTCATTATTCCATCCCCATTTGTGTACCAAACCTTAGTTTTTTTCTATATTGTGGTATGCAAGTATATTGGGGTTGGGGGGGGGGAGCCTTGGTGGGGGCCTATAGGGGCGGGTGTAGGTGGGTTTGTGTTGATGGGGGTGGGGGCAGAATGCCCCAAAAGGGGCAGTGGGGGTGATGTGTGTGGGTGTGGGTGTTGTTGGTTTGGGGTTTTGTGGGGTGGTGTGTTGTGTGGTGTGTGTGTTTTGTGTGTGTTGTGGTGTGTGGTTGTGGACCCAAAAATCAAAATTTGCACCAATAAATCATTACAGTTGTGACCCGGGGGTGGGAAATGTGAATTGCTCATTTCTCTAAATTTTTTTCAAATTTTTTAGCCAAAGTATAAACGAAAATAACCCTTTTTACGAATTCATTACCTTTTTTAAATTTTGAGTCATTTCCTTTGACCCAGTTCAGCTATCAAACTTTGGGGGCCCTCCCTGAATTTCGCACCTCGTAATCTGTAAATCCTTTTTTAACTTGTCTGATTGTGACCAGACTTACCTGGATTCTTCCTTTGTAAATTTGTGTTCTTACCTTTGAATTGTTTCAACCTTTTAAATTTAGTTCATTCCTTTTTGTAAAATTGTGAGTTCATTACCTCTGTAACTTGCTCAGCATCAAAAAATTTTGGAGCCAGTCCCCTGGCCAATTTGTACCTCTGTAATCTTTTGACTACCGCCCACAGGATGGGTATGGGGTGCATAATAAACATATTAAACTAAGCCTCAACTTACGAGTTCATAAAGAGCAGTATCTACTCTGATACAATCGTAATCTACGCAGTGCGAAACACGAATCTACTCACTTCAAGGCCCTGGATACATTACAGAGTACTAATTTACCAACCTAAAATTCTTATAAAACAATGATCAAATATTAACAAGAACTTTCCTCATCATACAGCCAAACACAAAGCATTAATCCAGATGTTACAGACTACCAAATGTTGGTGATATTTGAACTTATGATCAAATAATAGTTTACCCAAAATGTTCCTCCGCAACAAAAGAAAATGTTACAGAGGCAACTGAAGCAACCGTTTTAAACCCATCAAAACAATCATTACTCATACACGACATGTACATCAGGAACCGGGAAGACATACTCAGTTGGGCTAATGCAAGTACGGCGTTAATAACCCTTGTGCAGCTGACAAAGGCCTTTAATTATATCGATTGAACTAACATTCTTCACTGAGTTTAACCTACAGGAATGAAGTACCAAATCAAACTACAACTTTTGCAATCACTTTCCCTCAAGGAGGTGCCTTGATGCCAGCGAGGGGTTCTTGATCAAAGTAGTTGGATTTATCCTTAGCATTCTTGGCTCGAACCTACAGAGTTAGCGCTAACCCTTGATTAAAAATAAAAAAAAATAAAATGTAGTTGTCAGAAGAAACCGTCAAACATACTGCACATGTAAGGAAGAACAGACTCGATTAATTTAAAACAAAACTATATACATGGGCCGAGTTCCAGCTACAGGACCCCTCAAGGAAGGTTCCTTGACGTTGTTGAGGGCCTCTTACTCTAGACTAGAGAATTGGATTTGTGCTCCAGTTCCTCCATTCCCCCCACAGGAGCTGTATACTACGGGTTGAGCGCTTCCCCTTGACTATAATAATAATAATCCAGCTACGGAATCCCGCCTCTTAAAGAATAGCCAGTGTAATATGAATCCCCAGTTCCTTAGGTTTTGTCATAATCTAATTCAATATGTGAATAAAGGAAGTGCAAGTCGGTAAATGTACATTAATCAAACTCGTGCAACACGGTACGGAAAAGCTGTCAAATTAAGCTAAGATAAACTGAAATGTTAAGAGAGATCACTTTTACATTATTATTATTATAATCAAAAAAGAAGCGCTAAGCCACAAGGACTATACAGCGATCACTTTTACAGGTGAGAACTATATTGTGCTGTACTAGCAAAATAGTTACCTGTTGTTTAAGTTGAAAGCAATCCATGGAACAAAGCGGTATTTGTAAGATTTCCAAATAGAGGATAATTTCTTCAACATTTCAGTGTTCGGTCGGTGGTTACTGTCTCAAGGTATATTCTGGAAGACTTACACACTCTTGGCTTCCCCTTCCACATCCTCTTAATAAACTCAATTGGAATTCCGGTAACCTGTCTAATTATATTAACGCCCATTAGTGATAAGCCACTCGTATACCAATACAATTTACACAAACTACGATATATTACTGTATTTTTGACGGGACTGTTAGATATAACTATGTAAATGCTACGACATTAATATATTTAAAAATTAACTGTAAATAACGTTAGTTAACAAATGTATTTATCGAGTTTTTATCACGAACTCTTCGAGTTGGCTAAAAAATTTGTTCTACGGAAAAACAACTTCACATTAATGAAATTTAAAAATATGCCAGCCCAATCAACTTGAATTCATGAATTTTATCACAAAACTGCAAGAAGAGTTTGTGTTGCCTTAGACCTGAGGTGAGGGACCCTGACTAGGGCACATTAGTCTTGTGTGAGGGCACAGTACTACACTGAGCTAGCCCTTGGCACAGTATCGGGCACATCCTTCAGCTGGCACTACGTAACACATGCCCAGCTAGTATGTATACATAGATAACACGTCATTTACAGCGCGACTCACCCTCCCCGTCACCACCTATAAGCTACTGAGCTCCGCGTCGTCTGCTCACTCTGCCTTGCCTCTCCCACACATCTAACGATACTTGTATACATGTGATAAGTATGTATCTATATGTATGTGCAAATGAAAAAAAAACATGGAGATATAAATGAAAGTAGAAATGAGGAGGGAGCTATATATTTCGATCCCTCATAGAGGTCATTCTCAATAGTTAGAACTCGAAATATACAGTCCAGTCTTTGTGAGACATTACTCATTATTTTATGGTTTAAAATACAAGTAAGTTGTCTTCACCCTGCACAAATTGTTTCTCGTGCAAATTGTTATTTTGGGAGAGATATTAGCAAACACAATATATTTATTTTGGGACATGCAGCACGTCAAGGCTAATCAACGGTAAGCATTGACTGTAAACGACCAGCTGTATGACCCTTGTAGGATTAGCGCTTCCTTTGATTATAATAATAATGTAAATGACCAGATCTACTTGGAGTTCATTACTTTTGTAACTTGGTCACCTATCAAAACTTTACCTGGAGTTTACCTGGAGAGAGTTTCGGGGGTCAACGCCCCCGCGGCCCGGTCTGTGACCAGGCCTCCTGGTGGATCAGCGCCTGATCAACCAGGCTGTTGCTGCTGGCTGCACGCAAACCAACGTACGAGCCACAGCCCGGCTGATCAGGAACTGACTTTAGGTGCTTGTCCAGTGCCAGCTTGAAGACTGCCAGGGGTCTGTTGGTAATCCCCCTTATGTGTGCTGGGAGGCAGTTGAACAGTCTCGGGCCCCTGACACTTATTGTATGGTCTCTTAACGTGCTAGTGACACCCCTGCTTTTCATTGGGGATGGTGCATCGTCCTGCCAAGTCTTTTGCTTTCGTAGTGAGTGATTTTTTGTGTGCAAGTTCGGTACTAGTCCCTCTAGGATTTTGGGAGGTGTATATAATCATGTATCCCCTCCCTCCTGCGTTCCAGGGAATACAGGTTTAGAAACCTCAAGCGCTCCCCGTAATTGAGGTGTTTTATCTCCGTTATGCGCGCCGTGAAAGTCTCTGTACATTTTTCTAGGTCGGCAATTTCCACCTGCCTTGAAAGGTGCTTTTTAGAGTGCAGCAATATTCCAGCCTAGATAGAACAAGTGACCTGAAAAGTGTCATCATGGGCTTGCCTCCCTAGTTTGAAGGTTTTTCATTATCCATCCTGTCATTTTTCTAGCAGATGCGATTTATACAATGTTATGGTTCCTTGAAGGGGAGATCCTCCGACATAATCACTCCCAGGTTTGACGTTGGTGTTTCGCTCTATTTTTGTGGCCAGAATTTGTTTTGTACTCTGATGAAGATTTAATTTCCTCATGTTTAACCATATCTGATTAATTGAATTTTTTCATCGTTGAACTTCATATTGTTTCTGCAGCCCACTGAAAGATTTGGTTGATGTCCGCCTGGAGCCTTGCAGTGTCTGCAATGGAAGACACTGTCATGCAGATTCGGGTGTCATCTGCAAAGGAAGACACGGTGCTGTGGCTGACATCCTTGTCTATGTCGGATATGAGGATGAGGAAACAAGATGGGAGCTAGTACTGTGCCTTGTGGAACAGAGCTTTTCACCGTAGCTGCCTCGGACTTTACTCTGTTGACGACTACTCTCTGTTTCTGTTAGTGAGGAAATTATAGATCCATCGACCGACTTTTCCTGTTATTCCTTTAGCGCGCATTTTGTGCGCTATTACGCCATGGTCACACTTGTCGAAGGCTTTTGCAAAGTCTGTATATATTACATCTGCATTCTTTTTGTCTTCTAGTGCATTTAGGACCTTGTCGTAGTGATCCAGTAGTTGAGACAGACAGGAGCGACCTGTTTCTAAACCCATGTTTGCCCTGGGTTTTGTAACTGATGGGTTTCTAGATGGGTGTGATCTTGCTTCTTAGGACCCTTCAAAGATTTTTATGATATGGGATGTTAGTGCTATTGGTCTGTAGTTCTTTGCTGTTGCTTTAACTGCCCCCTTTGTGGAGTGGGCTATGTCTGTTGTTTTTAGTAACTGAGGACGACCCCCGTGTCCATGCTCCCTCTCCATAGGATGGAAAAGGCTCGTGATAGGGGCTTCTTGCAGTTCTTGATGAACACAGAGTTCCATGAGTCTGGCCCTGGGGCAGAGTGCATGGGCATGTCATTTATCGCCTGTTCGAAGTCATTTGGCGTCAGGATAACATCGGATAGGCTTGTGTTAATCAAATTTTGTGGCTCTCTCATAAAAAATTCATTTTGATCTTCGACTCTCAGTCTGGTTAGCGGCTTGCTAAAAACTGAGTCATATTGGGACTTGAGTAGCTCACTCATTTCCTTGCTGTCATCTGTGTAGGACCCATCTTGTTTAAGTAGGGCCAATACTGGACGTTGTTCTCGATTTTGATTTGGCATAGGAGAAGAAATACTTTGGGTTTCTTTCGATTTCATTTATAGCTTTTAGTTCTTCCCGCGATTCCTGACTCCTAAAGGATTCTTTTAGCTTAAGTTCGATGCTTGCTATTTCTCTGACCAGTGTCTCCCTGCGCATTTCAGATATATTGACCTCTTTTAGCCGCTCTGTTATTCTTTTCCGTCCGCCTGTAAAGGGAGCGCCTGTCTCTTTCTATTTTACATCTACTCCTCCTTTTTCTTAGAGGAATAAGCCTTGTGCATACATCGAGTGCCACCGAGTTAATCTGTTCTAGGCATAAGTTTGGGTCTGTGTTGCTTAGTATATCTTCCCAGCTTATATCGGTTAGGACTTGGTTTACTTGGTCCCACTTTATGTTTTTGTTATTGAAGTTGAATTTGGTGAATGCTCCCTCGTGACTAGTCTCATTTTGTCGGTCTGGGGCTCCACGCATACATGTCTGAACCTCAATTATGTTGTGATCTGAGTACATTGTTTTTGATATGGTGACATTTCTTATCAGATCATCATTGTTAGTGAATATGAGGTCTAGTGTATTCTCCAGTCTAGTAGGCTCTATTATTTGCTGGTTTAAATTGAATTTTGTGCAGAGATTTAAAAGCTCGTGTGAGTGTGAGTTTTCATCAGAGCTGCCTCCTGGTGTTATTACTGCAACAATATATTTGCTATATTCTCCTTTTAGGTGCCTTAAGTTGAAATCCCCCAGGAGCAAGATGTTGGGTGCAGGAGCTGGAAGATTTTCCAGACAGTGGTCAATTTTTAACAGCTGTTCCTGGAATTGCTGGGATGTTGCATCCGGAGGCTTGTAGACTACCACAATGACTAGGTTTTGGTTCTCGACCTTTACTGCTAGAACTTCCACTACGTCATTTGAGGCATTAAGCAGTTCTGTGCAAACAAGTGACTCTGCAATGTACAGGCCAACCCCCCCCCCCCCCCTTTTGCCTGTTCACTCTGTCACATCTGTATAGGTTGTAACCTGGGATCCATATTTCGTTGTCCAAGTGATCCTTTATGTGGGTCTCAGTGAAAGCCGCGAACATTGCCTTTGCCTCTGCAAGCAGTCCACGGATGAAAGGTATTTGTTGTTTGTTGCTGGCTTTAGACCCTGTATATTTGCAAAGAAGAATGTTATCGGACTGGTGGTATTGTTGGTACTGGGGGGGGATTTTTTTTCCGGCATTAGTATCTGTATCTGTTGGTTTGGAGTGGAGGCCATCGACTGTGGTTCCACTCCAGGAATGACTGGATTTGGTGTACGATTTCTGCCATTTCCTGCCAGTTTTTTTTCCTTCCTGGCACTAAAAAACCTCTCCCTCTTGAGTGGCTGTGGCTACCCAGGTTTTCCCATGGCCTGGATGTTTTGTATCTTTTTTTCCCCTTTAGATGGTATGCCTGGCAATTTAAGTTATAGCACAGTCTTTCCTGTACTGAAGAGGTACACATTTCAGGGTGAAAAAGCTTACAGGAAGGGAGTTTGCCATTTTTCCTGTTGTCATATGGGCATGGCATTTTCTAGGGTGGTCATAGTTGCACGTCCCATCTGTTTTTCCAGATTTCCCATGCCAGCAGATACAAGTGCATAGTATGTGCACAGGCTTGGTTTCCGCTTGCCTTGGGTTTCTGTGACTGTATTCCCTGTTGGTGCATGTTTCCCTGTCTTACTTCTATCCTCCCTAGCACCAACAATGGAGCTCCCACCAGTTGTTTTTGGTAATTTATCCTCACTATTGCTATTGGAGTCCTCTTGTTTGCTATTTCCTGCGGTATTTCTAGTTTGCAATATTGGTTTTATCTTATCTTTGACTACACTTGTTTCCCTACTATGGCTCCTGTCCCCTATGAGGTCATTTATATGTATTCCTTCCTGCGTATAATTCCCGACTACCTGGACAAAATCTCAGCTTCACCATTACTGTCTCCCAGGACAGTATCTCCAGCTTCACCATTTCTGTCTCCCAGGACAGCACCCTCCCGCTTCACCATTACTGTCTCCCAGGACAGCACT